TCTGCACAGCTCTGAAAAGAAAGCATTTCATGTCTTATGTGAGGTTGAGAGAAAGGTGAATAAAGTAAGTTAGAGATATTATCGTATTAAGATGAAACTAATATCCATATTAATTAAAAATAATCAGTATGGAGAGATGTAGCAAGATGGAGAAAGAAGAGAGTTGCTAATTTCAGTGCCATTAAAAAGCTGTGACCATAGGCAGGTGCCAGCACAGACAGACATCAGCTGCATGTACACCTGCTGTTCCCGGTGAAGTGGAGCAGTGGTTTCTGTCAGGTTCAAAATCAGATCATGAATTTTGCCTACACGTTGTCAAGCTACCTTGGATAGTTTCCTCCCTCTTGGCAGTCCCTGACCCAACTAGCATTCTCATACCACTTTGTAATAATCCAAAGATTCTTTTTCTCAGGTCTGTCCATTTCCAAGAGGCTCATGCCCCAAAACTGTTCCTCTCCCCCTGCTATGGACTGAATTGTGTCCCCAGCAAATTCATATGTGGAAGTTCTAAGCTCCAGTGTGATGGTATTTGCAGATGGGATCTTTGAGAAGTAATTTGTTTTAGATAAGGTCATGAGGGTAGAGGCCCCACAAAGGGATTAATGCCCTTATAAGAAAGAAGAAACACCAGAGAGCTTGCTTTCTCTCTCTCCAGCTGCCTGAGGACACAAGAAGGCAGCTGTCTGTTACCTAAGAAAAGAGCCCTCAAAAGACATTGATCCTTCTGGCCTCTTGATCTTGGACTTTCAACTTCCAGAACCATGAGATATGAATTCCTGTTGTTTAATCCACCTACTCTATGGTATTAATGACAGCCCAAGTTGACTGAGACACCCTCTCTGCCCCATGCCATCCAAAATCACACTAAAGCATAGGCAGTGTGTGGGATATATGTATTTTTTTCATTTAGGTAGTTAAACCATCCAGGTCCTTCGTAGAGTAGGTTATGCAGACTTGGCCAAGAGTACACAACTGCTCTTCATCTCATCCACAAAATAAGAGATTTACCTAAATGATCTGTAAATGCAGTCCTAAACTGCCTGAAAGTACCTGAGTCTTTCTCCAGAGCTGCTTATTTGCCAAAGGAATATAATTGGCATAAAGCCTGCAGGGCAGATCTTGAGAATGGGAGTTCCCAGAGTTCATTCATGTACTTCATAGCATTTATCTCTGCCATCGTGATAGAAAAGCAAGGCTGAGCAAATTGACCCTCTGCTTCTGCAGCTGCTGACCCCTGGTAATGTTAGAACAGAAGCAAGCTAGCCCTGGAGGCTTGGACTAATTCCAGCAATGATAAATACAGCTTGCTTTGTGGCTGTCACCCTGCCTAGAGGACTGAATGGCCAATGGTAACAACCATTGCACTTGTTAGGCACTGCTTAAGTCTCCCATTCTGCTGAGCCGATGCTGGCAGTGCCTCTGCAGAGGAAGAATCAAGCCCTTCAGAATCTACAGTGCTGGGTAATTGGGTGCTGCACCTCATTATGGTCACTACCAGGATGATATCTTCTTAGGGATTTCCTTTAGGGAAAGCAATCAATTTAGCAAAGTCTGAAAGGCAAGCATCTTTATCTGGTTGCTGTCATCCCAGACATTGGAAACATCCATGAAGTTGTGTTCTAGGGTATTATGAAAATTACTCCAAGGCATTTCCAAAAAATGGCTCACACTCTATTCTGGGATCTCTTCACTCTGTTATTTCAGTCCCTGACTAAAATGTAAGTGGTGTATGATAGCAACACTGTACTCCAAAAAAAAAAGAAAAGAAAAGGAGAATTTCTCAAGAGGTAGGTAAAGAAAGCAATTTAAATGACAGTTCTTTTTCCTTCTCCTCACCTTTGCCCATGCAACTTTGTCCTTGTTCATCTAAATTCTAACAGATTGGACCTAACAAAAGGAACTCTGAAATCAGTGACAAATGTGAGTGACTTAGACATGTGAAGGATGCCTTTAAGTGTTATTTGGCTCAAAAATAACTTCGGTAGTTTTACAGCTTTCCTGGAAAGCAATGAAAAATCACCTGAGGCGCAGTGTATTCACAACAAGAATGGGAACTTTGCATCTAAAATATATAGTCTTGAGAATTGGGAAAGTATTCAAAATGATATAATGTAACAAAGACCAGGGTTGGATCTCAGAGAATGTTTCAATGTTAAATTCATAAAATCATTGTTAAACCCATGTATTTAGTTGTGAGAAAGAAAGGCAAATTCTATCCAGAAAACAAAATGTTCCTTAAATATCAATTTTAGAATTAGGTTATTTAGTCTGTCAAAGACTGGCTGATTAAAAAAAAAAAAAGAATTAGTTTTTTTGGAAGTCAATCTTAAATATGGAAAGCAACCATGTATGATACAAACTACTGTTTCATAAACAGAAGTGATTTTGCTCTCCAGGTTACATTTGACAATGCTCATAGCAATTTGGGGACAGGTGCTCCTGGATACTAGTAGGTGGAGGCCAGAGACATTGCTAAACATCTAATAATGCACAGGACAGACCTCATAGAAAAAAAGTTGTCTGGCCTTAGAGGTCAAAAGTGGCAAGGCTGAAAAACCTTGACTTTCAGAATGCACTGCCAAAATGTGATGACAAAGATATTACATTTTTATAAAAGCCAAATCTCTAGAAGAAAGCCATTTCAACAAGCAAGAGAAATGATTTACAATTTGGAAAGGCTTTTCATTTTAGCACTATAATCAGATTCATTCATTGGATTTAAAATATATAGCCTATGATAGTCTAAGAAGACTTACAGATTCCACATGTATTGTAAAAAGGAGAAACCACGGTGGGAAATACGACACCTTGACTGTGTGGACCCACCCCTACTCATAAGTACTTAAATCATCCCTATGTATCAATAGGCTGGTGGAAAATTACAAGTTTGAAAACTCAGAGGAAGAAGCACATTATATATGAAGCTTTGGTCCGTTAAACGTTATGCTAAGTAAAAGATGCTACCTCCATCTTCACAGGGCTCATGTTGTGGTTTAGAGAATAAGACATACACATGTACACATATTTACTTGTTAATTTATTAAATGAATGTTTATTGCCTGCCTACTGTGCTTAGTGGTGTGTCAGACCCAGGGACACCAGGGAGCACACAGTGACTGTTTGCCCTGTGTGATGGGATGAAACAGAACCAAGATGAGGAGACTGTCTGCAGAGTTCTTACAATGTAAGTTACTACTGCAAATGTGGGGGCATCATTCAGAGAACCTAAACATAACCTGGAAGTCAATGAAGCCCTCTCTGAGAGGTGACTTAAAAGATGGGGAGAATTATCCAGATAATGAATCAGAGTAGAGAGAAGAGGGGAGAAAAGTGGTTCAAACAAAATATCATTAGTGTCCTTTTCCTCTTGTCATTAGTGTCCTTTTCCTCTTGTGTAGTTTAAGATTCAATTAAAAAAACAAGCATACATAGTGAGAAGAGGAAATTTTCCTTACTACCTCCTGATTCCCTTAGTACTATTCTTCCAGGTCCTTGTACTAATTATTGGACTTCTGCTTCTGAAAACCATTGGCAGAGCATGTTTTAAAAGCTCCAGGATATTCATTGAATTGGTCTTTCTCTGGCTTCCCTCCATTTGCTCTGGAACCTGGAGATGACTATATAACTGAAAGAAGAAACTATTTATTCATCTTAAGAATAGTTAACGATGCCCTATTTAATAAATAGTGCTGGGAAAATTGGCTAGCCATAAGTAGAAAGCCGAAACTGGATCCTTTCCTTACTCTTTATATGAAAATTAATTCAAGATGGATTAGAGATGTAAATGTTAGACCTAAAACCATAGAAACCCTAGAAGAAAACCTAGGTAATACCATTCAGGACATAGGCATGGGCAAGGACTTCATATCTAAAACACCAAAAGCAATGGCAACAAAAGCCAAAATTGACAAATGGGATCTAATTAAACTAAAGAGCTTCTGCACAGCAAAAGAAACTACCATCAGAGTGAACAGGCAACCTACAGAATGGGAGAAAATTTTTGCAATCTACTCATCAGACAAAGGGCTAATATCCAGAACCTACAAAGAACTCAAACAAATTTACAAGAAAAAAACAAACAACCCCATCAAAAAGTGGGCAAAGGATATGAACAGACATTTCTCAAAAGAAGACATGCATACAGCTAATAGACACATGAAAAAATGCTCGACATCACTGGCCATCAGAGAAATGCAAATCAAAACCACAATGAGATACCATCTCACACCAGTTAGAATGGCGATCATTAAAAAGTCAGGAAACAACAGGTGCTGGAGAGGATGAGGAGAAATAGGAACACTTTTACACTGTTGGTGGGATTGTAAACTAGTTCAACCATTATGGAAAACAGTATGGCAATTCCTCAAGGATCTAGAACTAGATGTACCATTTGACCCAGCCATCCCATTACTGGGTATATACCCAAAGGATTATAAATCATGCTGCTATAAAGACACATGCACATGTATGTTCATTGCGGCACTATTCACAATAGCAAAGACTTTGAATCAACCCAAAAGTCCATCAGTGACAGACTGGATTAATAAAATGTGGCACATATACACCATGGAATACTATGCAGCCATAAAAAAGGATGAGTTCGTGTCCTTTGTGGGGACATGGATGCAGCTGGAAACCATCATTCTCAGCAAACTATCGCAAGAACAGAAAACCAAACACCGCATGTTCTCACTCATAGGTGGGAACTGAATAATGAGATCACTTGGACTCGGGAAGGGGAACATCACACACCGGGGACTATTATGGGGAGGGGGGAGGGATTGCATTGGGAGTTATACCTGATGTAAATGACGAGTTGATAGGTGCTGATGAGTTGGCGGGTGCAGCACACCAACATGGCACAAGTATACATATGTAACAAACCTGCACGTTATGCACATGTACCCTAGAACTTAAAGTATAATAATAATAATAATAATAATAATAATAATAAATACAAAAAAAAAGAATAGTTAACGGTGATTCTGTGCTCCAGGAAGGAACGTGCTGCTGAGAGTGCCAGTCTGCGAGGTTTTGCTTTCATGTCTGGACGGAAGAGAAGTCTAGAGTCGCTGATGTGTATTCAAGGTCATCATAGTGTATGGAAGAACATCAGTTGTCATGCTGATGGCATTTTATTAGTAGGTAAAGATGAGAAAATTTACTAAGCCCCAGTAATGCCAAGAGGGAAGAATTTTGATGAGGAGGTTGATAAATAACATATTTTGTAAGCAGGTTTAGTCTTTTAGTGTAACCTGGGCTCGTGCTCTTGTTTGGTATAATGTAAAGATGATTTGGTAAATTCAATTAGCATCTTATTCCTACTCAATACCGTTAGTGCTGTGAATCATCTAAATAGAATGTTTCCCCAGTGATAACTTGCACTGAACCGCCAAGATAATACTGTTAGTATTTTGATAAGTAATAGCTAAAGAGGATTTTTGTTAGATGCACACACACACACACACACACACACACACACACACACACACACACACACCTGCAAGTGAAAATATCTCTACTCTTCTCCTAGATGACTGACCATCACTAGAGCTAATGGACATAATCAGTGCCTGAAGATTTAAGTGGAACTGATGGAACCATGTGCCAGGATGTACAGGCTCCCTAGGAAGGACTCTTGACGAGAGGTACATCTTACCAGTTAAGATATTATCATTTCCATTCACAAAATGGCAAAACACAGGAAGATGTTTTCATTCATATTTTGTGGAAGGTACAGGTGATCACGAGTATGAATCCCCCAGGGGTCAAGTCAATGTGGAAGAAACCTGGAGTGAGTCCCATAACCTCTGTGACAAAGGTAGGGTTAAGATTGCTTTTTTCATTTTTCACACACTGTTGCATATAAATCTGCAGAGTTATTATGTAAAGCAATTTAGCAATATGTAGCTGGTGTGATAAAATTGTTCCCACTGAGGAAATGATTTGTTTTATTTTCAAAAGAGAAGTAATATATTCGATAGCTCAGAATCCCTTAAAACTAGTAAGAATAGAATTATGGGAAATTTCTAAAAATAACTCCAGTGACTATTAAATGTATGCAAAGAAATGTCTTTAACAACCAATAATTTAGGAAATGAATTTAAAACAACAGGGAGTGTTCCATTAGAGGACTACCATTTGGAAAAAAAAAAAAAACCCAGTAATTGGCAAGACAAAGTGACATCTCCAAATGCTTTTGGTGAGACCGAGTCAAAATTTGGTAATTTGATTCGAATGTTCTGGAAACAAATTGGATACTAGCTATAAAAAGTTAAAAATTTTCACATTCTTTAATTCAATAATTCAACCTCTGGGAATTGATACAAATAACAACAAGGTGGCCTAAGTCTGAAATGAGTTAAGATTGTTAAGCACTTAAAATATATACATAATGGCCGGGTGCGGTGTCTCACGCCTGTAATCCCAGCACTTTGGGAGGCCAAGGTGGGTGGATCACAAGGTCAGGAGTTTGAGACCAGCCTGACCACTATGGTGAAACCCTCCTCTACTAAAAATACAAAAGTTACCCGGGCGTGGTGGTAAGTGCCTGTAGTCCCAGCTACTCGGGAAGCTGAGGCAGAAGAATTGCTTGAACCCAGGAGGCAGAGGCTGCAGTGAGCCGAGATCGTGCCACTCTACTCCAGCCTGGATGACACAGCGAGACTTCGTCTCAAAAAAAAAAAAAAAGAATACATATATATATACACACACACATATATATAAAATAATGTGATGAAAATGTTTATACATAAATCTTTATGTGCCTTTATTTAACAAATATTCACTTAGTATTATGTGTGTGTATACATATATACATATACACACACAATATGTATGTATACATATATACATATACACACACACACTATATATGTATACATATATACATATACACACACATAATACTAAGTGAATATTTGTTAAATAAAGGCACATAAAGATTTATGTATAAACATTTTCATCACATTATTTATTATAGCATAATATGCGAAACAACTGAAATAACCAACAGTAAATGAGTGAATAAACTACACTGTGTTTAGTAATTGTAAATGAGACACAGACAAAATGCAAAGTTGAGATTATCAGTATAGGTAGTCCAAAAGGTAGATACATGATAAGTAGAGATGCAGGTGGATGTAGGCAAAAGAGGGAAAGAAGGAATCTTTATGGTTATCCATGACTGGGGACATTATAAATGCTTTTAAATTTCCCCTTTTAAAATTTTGTTCAATGAATATATTATTTATACTCTATCTAAGTCTATGTACTTATATCATCTCAACTCCAGAATATAAACAATGATTTTATTGAGGTAATAATTTTATTCCTTCGTCATATTATTACATTCATATATTTTCCAAATCTTCTACTATATATATATACATGACATAAAATTAGAAGAACTAAATTTTAATTTAAAAGACACCATTTGAGCATTTCTAACTTCACATTAATCCTATCATAACATTCATATTAATAACTTACCATCAAAACAATTGAATTGAACCTAATTATTGATTTAAAAATACTTCTTGATTCATTTATTTGTTTTCTATCAAAAAAATTTATTAGTAACTTTCAATAATTTCACAAATAATTTGAAGGTCTGCAGCCACTTATGGTGCATTAGCATGTAATTCAGAAGGTTGAATTATTATTCTTATTTTGGTAAAATAGCCATAGATTTATCATTTGAACTGCTTTGGAAGTGTACAGTTTAATAGCATTCAGCACAACCACATCGCTGTGCCTCCATCACCACTATCCTTCTCCAGATAGTTTCTCATCACAACATGAAACTGTGTTCATTAAACAATAGCTCCCCATTCCCTCCTACCCACAGTTCCTGACAATCACCATTTCACTTTCTGTCTCTATGAATTTAACTGTTTCACGAACCTCATATAAGTGGAATCACACAATACTTGTCCTTTTGTACCTGGCTTATCACACTTAGCATAATGTCTTTAAAGTTTAGCCATGTTGTGGCATGCATTAGAATTACATTCCTTTTCACTGCACTCCAGCCTGGGCAACACAGCAAGACTCCGTCTCAAAAAAAAAAAAAGAATTACATTCCTTTTTAAGGCTGAATAATATTCCATTGTGCATTTTATTCCACATAATTTATAATATTGTAATACTGTAATTTTAATATTCCAAAATGCATCTGATTTTTATATTTATCTGTCAGTGGACCCTTGGGTGGCTTCCACCTTCTGGCTATTGTAAATAATGCTGCTATGAATATGAGCATACAAGTGTCTGTTCAAGTCCCAGCTTTTAGTTCTTTAGAGTGTATGCCCAGAAATGGAATTGCTGACTCGGATGCTAATTCTATGTTTGATTTTTTGAGGAACTGTTATACCATTTTCCACAGTGGCTATACCATTTTACATTTTTACCAGAAACAAACAAGGGTCCTAATTTCTCCATATCCTTGCCAACACATGTTATTGCCTGTGTTTTTGTTTTTAATAATAACTACCTTAGTGGGTATGGAGTGGCATCTTGTGGTTTTGATTGACATTTCCCTAAAAATCAGTGAAGAAAATGAACATGTTTCTATGTGCTTATTGGCCATGTGTGTATTTTCCCTGGAGAAATTCCAGTCCTTTACCCATTTTTTAAATTGAGTTGCTTTTTTTGTTGTTATTGTTGCTGAGTGGTAGAAGTTATTTACAGACTGTGGGTATTAAGATCGAATTGCATGTGTGATATGCAAATATTTTCTTCCATTCTTTCATTCCATAGGTTGCCTTTCACTCTGTTGATTGTGTTCCTTAATACACAAAAGTTTAACATTTTGATTAAGATTAATTTATATGTTTTTTTCTTTTGGTGCCTGTGCTTTTGGTGTCATGTCCAAGAAATCATTGCCAAATCCAATATCATGAAACTTTCCTTTTATGTTTTCTTCTGAGTTGAATTATTTTTAATTGGCTTATTAAAATTATTTAGATATTCTTTCTTTTGCTTATCGAGCTGTGGAGTAAAAATGCCCATGGAATACAGTTTTTAATTTGTACTCTAGGGGTGGATAGGGGCTGATATCTTTCTTCCCCATCATAAAGGATCATGGCTGACATTCCCATAACAAAAAGCAGACTAACAAGAGAAAAGCATAACCAATGTATTACTATTACATGAACATGTGTGCTCAGGAGTCATACCAAATATGAACTCAAAGTGTGGCCATGTAGTTAAAACGTACATGCTTTCTTCATAGGGGATGGTGAAATAGAAGAATAAATAGGCCGGATACTCAGAAGGTGGTTCACAGGAACAATGATTTTCTCCTTATGTAGATAAAATTTCTTGGCTAGTCTCTTAAAGCTGCCTTCAGAAGAATAGATGAAATGTCTGTCTGGGCATGGTGATGACTCCAGTCTTTTCTCTTGTGGTTCACCATTCGTGTTTGTTTGATGAGATCTTGAGAAAGAGGGTCTTAGGGCAGCTACATTTCTTTTGGAAAGAAGCTTTCTTAGTGATATAAGGCTTGGGGGAGGAACAAGACAAGGTTAGGAACTTTGATTCTGAGGCAGCTTCTAAAGCCTCTCTCAGCAGGTCAAAGTGCCAGTCTTTGTGGTATTGCTTTCTTTCTGAGCCCTGAAAGTACTCTAACAATTTCACAGTAATGCCGAAATTCCTTCAGCCCCATAGTAATTTCAAAAACAACACATATGTTTATTTTGGGGAGGGATATATATACACACACACACATATATATATGTGTGTATATAGATACACACACATACATACACACACACACATACACACACACATATATAGTGGGATTATATATATATATATATATATATTTTGTAAGATCGTGGAACAAACAACTTAATACATTAGACTACAGTTCAAGATATTTTTTCACAGTTATTGGCAAATCTCTTTGCAAATAGATGTGTTCCATTTGTGGCACATGAACAACAACATGTGAACTGTATCGAGTCAGTGTGGATTAAGTGGTTGTGAGGAAATGAGTCCCATCTGTTAAAGCGGAATATCTGAGAAGTCATTCATCACACTCGTTCTGCATTCAGTTGATGTGGACATAATGGAACTAAATTACAGAGATGATATTATGGAATCAAACACTTAAGTGCTTATGCATCAGACTACCTAACAAGCTACTAAATGACAGGCTGCCTGAATTCAGAATTCAATAGCAAAGAAAAAAATTTAAAGGCCAATAAAGTTTTTGGTTCTTTAGTTACAGTTTCATTCCCAAAATACTTACTGACAATAAGCAATTCACATCCTGACGTTGAAGGTTCTGGAGTAATAGTGGTAATAATGAAAAACGGAGGCTAAAACTGGAAACTTGATGTCACTGCTCAAGCCAATAATAATCTTGCTGGATTTAATAAATATATTCTGTCTTTATTAAAATTGTATTGGTGCTAGGATGCTGGGACAATTTAGCTGAAATTCAGTTCTCTTCAACAAATGGTGCCAAAATAATTGAATATCCACATGTGAAAAAATAAAGTTGAACTCCTACTCAAGACAATAAACAAAATTGACTCAAATTGAATCAAAGTTTAGAAGAAAATCTTACCCTTAGAAGTAAATCCTCATAATCTTGAGTTAGGAAAAGGCTTCTTAAAATAACATCAAAGCACAAGTGCCAAAATAAAAAAAAAAAATAGGTAAATTGGACTTCATCAAAATTAAGATCTTTTGTGATTTAAAGAATACCATCAAGAAAGTGAAAAGACAAAATGGAATGAAGAGAAATATTTACAAATTATATATCTGATAAGTGACTCGTACCCAGAAGATATAAAAAGCTATTATCAGAAT